TTTGACTTATCTGTTGTATTTGAATAGCATGATGAACACAACATTTACTATGAACTTCCTTGGGAGAATACCGTATTGGCCCGAATATAAGACGGCCCTGATTATAAGACAACCCCCTCTTTTTCAAGACTCAAGTTTGAAAAAAGACTTTTTGAACACCAAATTAATGTTTATACAGAAAATAATTACAGTACAACTGAAACAAATTATTATAACAATATATTTGAGAGAAAAAGCATGTTATTTTGCCTCATTCAAATCTTAATATCTGAACATTTAAATATGTAAACTAAAGTGCAATCACATTCTTAAATGAATGGCTTCTGGTTTTTGAAATGTAAATTGCATCATAACTTCTCCTCAGCTGCCGATTAACCTGGCAGATCATCGACCCACTTTTCTCCAGATTGTCACTACGTATCTCCATTTTCTGTTATCTCTTCTATGATTTTCTTCTCTTTTCTTTCTTACCTCTATTTTTTATTTTTATTCTTTGTGCTACCGGTATTCTTATTTTTATTCTTCGTGACAGGGGTTCGCTTTGGCCTCGGGGAGTCAAGTTCAGCATTCGCTTCAATGATATCTGGCGCCATCTAGTGTCGTGAATGGGTATAATGTCTAGACCCCGAATATAAGACGACCCCCACTTTTTCAGTCTTATTTCAATGCAAAAAACACCGTCTTATATTCGGGCCAAAACGGTACTAACTGATCAAAATGGCTGGGACAAGGATACTGAAAGCATGAAAGTAATAGGACATTATCCCACTAACCAGTTCTTGGAATCAAGGCAGAATTAGTGTGCTCAGGTGTTGCGCGCATCTGCTCATTACAAGTTTGCACTGGCAAAGAGACACCATGGGTCGCTTCCACTCCAGACACCAACATTGAAAACAGCAGACTTTCAACTCGGAATGATCAATCATCTTTGCCCCGGCTGGCGTTTTTGCCGTTTAAGCAGACTGAGCTGCCGTTACACTGCTTCAATCATCATCTGCCAGTCTAAATGCTAGTGCTAATTAGCATTCCCATGCTAAATTACCTCCCATCCCGTGTTCCCTGATTAGGCTTAATCATTCTGACAGCCAGTTTTATAGCTAAGATTGCCCACTAGCTCAAAGTGTATCAGAAGAGATTAGCGAGAGAGAGAATTGAAATGGGGAAACTGACACTTTGCGAGGTTGAGAGGTATATTGCAACAGAGTTGACATCATGACTAAGGCATTGCACTTTCAAAAAGGAACAAGGTGATAAAAGGAAGAGAGCAACTTTCATACAGTTTGATCCTGATCCAGAGTCATGTCATGGCCCACCTCTGATTCCCCCGATGTCTAAATAGAGCCCCTGCCGCTGAGTGGCGAAGTGTCAGCATGGAGTCAATCATCTGATTGCCATGGTTACCTAGCCATCAATGTAATCCAACCTGTCCTGTCATTCAGACTATCTTCCAAGAGAGAAAGAAAAACACCTAACTTCGGTCCCTGCTCACAGGCAAATGATGAAATGGGGTGAAACTCTTCACACTTCGCCCATTACATACCTTAACGGTGCTCGTTCATCTATTTTACTCTTTCTTACTTGCCTCTTTTGTTTTTTTTTTTTTGTTTTTTTTGTTTTTTTTAATCTGTGAAATACTTCACGTTGTTGAGTGTTCCGTTTCATCTTGACTGATGTGCCGGGAGTGTCCTCCTCTCCAAGGTAAACCAAAGAGTAGATGAAATGAAGCGAATGATGGGATTTTCAGGGTTTTGCGAAGAGCTAAGGGCTTTTTTTTTCCCTCCTAAGATGTTTCTGGCAAACAGCTCCGAAGTCCACAAGTAGTGTCATTTTATACTCTTGGAACACTCCCAAAATCTCGTCTCCATGCTAAGTGATGCGCTGCGTTGTCGGAAAATTGTTAGAAATTGAGAGGGGAAAATGTATCGAGTGGAACAGCACATGAAACAAAAAGGCAAATACAGCACAGACAACCGTTTGCTTATACAAATAATTAATATCCATACAGGATGCGCGGTCTTGTTATTGGGATTTGACCAGTTGTCGGATGTAATTTAGCAAGATTCTCCGATGGCATCAGTCCACTTTTTTTCCCTCACGCACCAACCCCCTCATGCAGAAACACACAATTACTGCCTCCAAGGGACTGCCTGGTTTGAAATTAACTCAGGTGATTATATATTCACAGATTGATCAATGAATGGAGTCAAACACGCCGTGATTCACAGGAGGAATTCTCGCGTATGCGCAGACGTCGATACACTGCAGTTCTGCATTACATGAGCCAAGCAGCATAGGTTAACCCCCCAATGAATGGCAATTAAAGCATGCGCTATCCAGCCATTGCACTCTCCATCTGCCTCCACCTCGCTTTCTTTGTGATCCCATCCAGTCTCCCACATATTGCCTCTTACTTTTATTTCCTAGTTCAATTGCTGATGGCTATACTCCAATTTATTTAGACTTAAACCAAGGCTGTCCGATTTTTCAGCCTAAGGGCTATTTTCTTGATTTACCGTTAAGATTCCTGATCTTGTATGACTTGAATTATTGTAATCGGCGTCCCGTTTCGCCAGCTCTGTGCTCTCATAGATGACAGACAGCATGGCAGTGCATCCAGATGCATTGATGTGCATGAAGACATTGGCAGCAACCACATCATGCGTCCCTCTCTCACCAAGCAGAGAAAGGCACCGTATGACAGGAAATAGATTCCAATGAACGGGATATCATCCGAGATCTATTGGCCCTTCTCACTCTTCATAGACACACAAATCATCTTCCTGCACACACACGCACACACACACACACACACATACATATATATATATATATATATATATATATACACACACACACATAGATGCATACCAAGGGGGTCAAGCATAAGGACTAATGGGCAAGGTTTCAGTTGACTCAGCAAAACCCAGACAGAAAGGAAACACTGCAAAGAAGGAGTCGTGTTTGTGCGAGGGCGTGGGTGAGCCAGTTCGTGTGTGATGTGCAAAGCTGATAAGTAGCCTGTGTAAAGTGTTCATCCGTGGTTTACAATGGGCCATAGTTCACAAATTGCCATGCGTCTCGGAATAATGAATAAAAACAAGACGATGTAACAAGTGGTAAATTGGCACGTTTTGGTCTACTTTTCTATATGGCTTGATTCTTTGCATCTCATTTTGTTTCAGTAGTCCAATTTTAAGGCTAGGTGTGTGTCTGTGTGTGTGTGTGTGTGTGTGTGTGTGTGTGTGTGTGTGTGTGTGTGTGTGTTATATGGCCAAGCACCAATACCAGGTATCGGTATCAAGCCGATATGGCGTTATTTCAAGGTATCAGGTACTCGCAACGGCGGACGATACAATGACACCCTCTTGTGGCCGTTTTACTATCACCATGCATGACAGAACATTTGAACTGTGAATCGTATCTTTGCCGATCTTCTCACATTCTCCTTGTCCATCTATCCATCCATCCATTTTGTAATCCGCTTGTCTTCACGAAGTTCGCAGGGCGTGCTTGTGCCTATCCCAGCTGTCTTCCGGCAGCAGGCGGCGTACGCCCTGAACTGGTTGCCAGCCAATCACAGGGTACACAGAGACAAACAACCATTTCCACTCACAATCCCATCGAGGGACAATTTAGAGTGTTCCATGAACCCGATTTAGAGATGTTCAATTAACCTCTCATGTATGTTTTTGGAATGTGGGAGGAAACCAGAGTCCCAGGAGAAAACTCACAAAGACACAGGGAGAACATGTCAACACCAAACTGGAAGGCCGAATCGAACCCTGCACCTCTGCACTGTGAGGTGGACGTGCTAACCAGTCGCCTACCATGCCGCTGGATTAGAAAATTGACATCCTTCTAACGTAATCAATTAACTATATTGCGATAAGCAATGCATTCTGGGAACTGAGTGGCTTTACCGTCATTACCATAAATGCGAACAATAAGTAGATAGGCCTACTACATGCCTGCCCTTAAGGCTCTTACGGACATAGTTTCAGTCCAGCGCACATTGTGGTGACATGACTAGTAATTATTTTTCGAGTGCATTGCAGCAAAAAGGAAGGTGTGCATGACTCCCAAAAAACATCCCAGCTATACACAAAGCACTCAACTTTTCATATCATACCTTCTTAGTTCTCTTGAGAACATATTTTAACAGATAGCAGCAATGACATGCTGGCAAAATAAAACTTGTCTCATCTCTCCAATTATTTTCAGTCTCAGGCAACTATTACATTCAATGTATTTTTCAAGGTATTGTGACAGCAAAACTAGATGAGTCCTGTGATATTACAGCAGCAGCTCAGCTGGATGTAAGATGAAAAAAAAAACCAGCTGATTGGCACTCACAACGTGACGTCTACTCAACCGAGCTATTTGAGCAACACACACATATACACACACACACACTTCGAGGCACCTCGCTGTGTGCATGCCAAATATAATGGAAAGTCGTTGCTTGCCTGGGATTGAAGAGAGCTTTCGCAGCACAAATCACACACACGCAAAGACACATTAAATAGGTCTGCTTACCTGTGGTGCTCAAAAAAAAAACTCTTCATGATAACAACCTTGCGACATTCCCAAACAGAACTTCCACTCTCACACGTCCAAGTGCCACAATTTCCCAACGTAACTTTACGCAAATGTACCTCATGATCACTTGTTCCACCCACTGCTACTTGTTACATCATCATTTAAAGCAATGTCAAAACGGTAATAACAATTTTGGTGCATCTCCAGCATGAAAATATATTCTTAAAATATGCACTGTACTGCATTGCCATCCCACTGCCATGCACACAAACCAATGCTGATTGAATACAGTAAACATGAATTAAAATGTGTGTGTTTGCTTGGGTAAAATTCAAACAGCTTCTAGCATACACCAATGGTGGATCCAATAACAACTCACTTCAGAAACATTTTCAGCATCGAACCTAAGTTTTGTTTTTTGTTTTTTTTGGAAACGATGATTGAATGTATCCTGGACTTACCTTTTTCATACGGCCGCCACGAGTGCCCATGAATGCCACGGTGTTTCCACGGTAGTCGTAGGCCGCCACTGAGGTCATGCCATCGTCCTTATCCACGTAGAGCGGGACGCCCTCGATGGTGGTGGTGCCCCCTAGGGGCTGGTTGAAGTCATGGCCGCAGAAATTATCATCAATTTGCAATGGCTAGGTGGGACAAAAAGATAGAAAACCATCAGCGACTCCATTTACGCTTTTAACTCCCCTGTCTCGTTAAAATGACATTCATTGTTAAAGATGCAGGAGCCTCTCAGTCTCGTTGGCACTTAGTTGGCATTTTATGGAACTGGAGCAACACACAGCAGATTGAGTGAGGAGCGGTCTGAAATTAATCGCCGTCATCTGTAAAATTAACTTTCTCTCAAGTCTTGCCAGCGATGTTGAGGAAATGATATTTTTGAGTATTGTAGTGGGGGAAGCATAGCCAGCTTTCTTTTGAGTATTTTAGCGGTCAGTGATGTAAAAATGTCAAAACAACAAAGGGACCCATTAGCAAGAAATTGCTTTCTTATGTCGTATTGATTTCTTTGTATAATGGCTTGGCAATGCAGTTTCGAATAAGAAACAAGCCAATCCGGCGGCGCGTGGAACAAAAGGGCAAGTGTGAACACACAATCAAGACATGAGCAAGTGAAAGGAAGTAAATTGTAGGTCAAATTAGCATATTATAATCACAGTGTGACAAGTATATGTGCATTGACGGGGAGGTGTGATAGTATGTCACAGTTGATTTACTTGATTGCGTGCGTGTGTGTGTGTGTGTGTGTGTGTGTGTGTGTGTGTGTGTGTGAGTGCGTGTGTTGTTTGCTTGATGTTCGCTTGACTTCAACATGAATAACTGACAATCAGCTCGGTGTTTTCACGAAGACGCAAACGTAACAGTGTTACAATGGAAATTAGATTTACTCTGCTGCTTATAGTGGATACACACACACACACACACACACACACACACACACACACACACACACACACACACACACAAATAACTGCAATAGTCCAAGTAGAAAGATGTGAATAATTAACAAAAATAATATATATGATGCTGCTATTTGGAGTGGGCAGTAGAGTGACGTAGTGGTTCGAACAGCTGTCTCACAGCTGAGAGGAGAAAGGTATGAATCTCACCTCCGGCCTTCTTGTGTGGCATTTGAATGTCCGCCCCCGTGGTTATGTTGGTTTTGTCTGAGTACTGAGGCTTCTTTCCATATTCCAAAAACATGCACGTTAGGTTTATATACGAGTCCAAATTGCCTATCCGTGTGAATTTGAGTGTTGATTTTTGGTTTTACCTTGTCCTCCTGCGGGTTTAAGATGAGGGAATGTCGTTAATGTTAATCGGCTATGGGCATGTGAAGCCCTTTGAGACTTTTCTGTGTTTAAGAAAGTCCTTCTATAATCTTGCTATCTCAATACATTTGAATTGACTTGACAGGTATCGAGTACGTTCATATTAATGTTATCGTGCAAAAGCTACTGCCCCACCCCTGCCCCCAATTCCATTTATGTATAAACTACAAAATAAAGTGAGTACAAAATCTGAATGCTTTTTGAGAAATCATACGTTATCAAATAAAACTCCGTTAGGCTCAGATGGAGCCGAGCAGTGTGGAGAGAAACCAGTGACGGCACTCAAGAAACCTGGTGCATGCCGAATGGCCCGCCACCGTAACTTGCAGGGCAGCAGCCTCCTGAGCATCATTGGCATATGTTAAAATCTGCCAGCGAGAATCATAAACATTTTTTGATGTATCGCTGAATGTTTGTGAACGTGTTTCTACGTTCACATAAATATGTGTTGAAGTAAAGCGTCTGCAACTCGAAACACAGGCCTTCTTTTGCAAACCTCACAACTGAAGAAGATAAACTATTCGGCATGGACGTACAGTATATAAAATCACTTTACCCAGCGCTTACTTATGCAGGGAGAGCCAGACATGTAAACTAATCTGCATTCCCGTTGTCTGTGGTGCTCGCTCACACACACACACAGACACACACACACACACACACACACACACACACACACACACACACACACACACACGAATGCGATCGCCATCATCCCAGCACTTTGGCCGGCATGCTGAGGATGCTAATGGTTTGTTATGTTTAGACTGACATCATTGCATCATTACCATAGAGTCAACAGCTCAGACTGAGGCACGACGGACCATTCAGGCATCACGTCTGCAGACAAATGTGGCCTCACACGGACCTGACATCTGCTCACAGTTGTGGGCCGTGTAGACATGGAATTCCTGCAGCCAGCCCGCTCCATCATTAGCCCTTCAGTGACTCGACAGAGGACGTGCTGCATCACTTTGAGCCACCGGGGGCAATTTCATTATTTTAAAACTGATTCTACATGTGATGCATGTCATGTGTCACAAAAATTCCATTGGACCATTGTCACTTTGCCGGTAGTGATTGCGGGTTATTATGATATGTCATATTTTTGTTATCATTCTACTTGTTTAGCAATCTTAAAAGAAGCACCGTCATGCAATAGATTCAGGTTCAGGTTCTAAATATGCGCCTTTTAACCTTAAGACCTCAAAAATAAATGATTGATTCTGACTGATGAGATCGTGTACCGAAAAGCAATGCAGCTGTGACATCATCGCTTCATCTCAAAGCGCTGCCTCCGCGACATCCCAAAACTGCTCTGAGCCACTTGATGGCGTTTTTTTGCACGGTATCATGGGACTGCAAATAATGTACTTCTTAACCTTATTGCAACAGCTTCAAGACAGCATTTATGCCCCTGTTGACTTTCAGACTGAACTCCCCGAAGCGGGCCGGTGCCGAGTCCATAGAGCACATTTGAACAGCTGTTTCGCTTCATGGATGCGAATAATCAGATGTGTTGACATCAGCCTGTGTGAAGGTAACAATCGTTTTCATCACAAATGGATATGGCCAGTGAGTCTCAGGTGTGAAACTTCACAGGTTTCCCGCTGTCTGCACCTGTTACTCCTAAGATACTACGCCACGACTGGGAAAATTTGTGGATCGACTTTAAGCCTCCCGACCCGAACCAATGTCTTACACACGGACCAATGAACAAGAAAGAAGCTGTGAAAAAAAAGCCAGATTTGAAGGATCGCGTGAAAGTGGTCGTGAGTATTCAGGCAAACCTTAAAAAAAAAAAAAAAAAAACCATCTGTTCATTTGCTCCCCTGCATCTCTTTTACAGTTTTTGTTGACTGGCATGCATATTTTGGGAATGTGGGAGGAAACCAGAGTGCCCACGCGGTGAGGATATGCAAACTGAAAGATGGAGCCGGGATCAAACCCTGCACCTCTGCACTGAGAGGCGGCCGTGCTAACCAGTTTTCCACCGTGTTGACCTTGAAATGAAATGATAAATAAATACAACAATTCTAATGTTTTGTTTAGCTGTTGTTTTTTGACCGCCCCCCTAAAAAAAACTGTTCCTCAGTCAATTATTAAATTCACACAAACAATCAATAGGGTGAGAGGTGAAGTGAGATGTCACGGGGAGGTGGGCTGCCTATCTGTTATGTTGATGTGTGTATTTTTTTTTGTATTCATGTGCAGCTGTCCCTTGTTCCAAGACAAATTTCTCCTGTGGGAGACGAATAAAGATAAACCTTGAACGCCAAAGTGCTTGTTCCAGCATGTTGCAAAAAGCAGCATAAAATATTTGATTTTTTTTTTTTTTTATGTTTCATGTCATAAGATATATCGGTGCCAGCAAAGAAACAGTTGGAAGCTATCTATAGATTTGAGCACCCTGTGAGCCACCGTTGCTGACCAGTTTCTCCTGGAGCACACTTTCAGAATACGAATAACAATTTAAAGAAAAAAAAGGAAAGATTGCTTGAACGTCTTATAGCAGGAAACCACTTGACCAAAAGATTATGACAACATCTGCATAAACCTTTTGACTCAGTAGAATGAAGTATGGGTGTAGTGTGAGAATCCTTCAAATAGTTTATCACCCCCCCCCCTCCCCTACAGGGTGCAAAAACACACAAAAACATCCATTTGCCAAAAATCCTGTAATCTGGCGGGCTGGACAATGTTGAGATCAAGGCTCGGGGGTGGGGAGGGGGTTTCGTACCATCTGCCGCAGGACCCCTTGTCCTTTTTCTCGCCGATTAACGTACTGTAGGACTCTGGCAGCTTTGTTGGGGTGATTGTCATGCTCCAGAATGAATTTGGCACGGTGAAATGCCTCCCTGACGTGCTGAGATGAGATGACAGATAAGAATCAGCCTGTACTTGGAAGCAGTGAAGGGGACTGTGAGGACCAGGCATAAAACAGACTTCACCCTGCCAGCTTCATAGTTCAACATCGATGTAATGCCCTACTGAGCCCACGTGTGAATACAGCAGGCCATTGTTCGAATTTCATGGCAATCAAGCGGGCTCAGTCAAGAGACTGGAGTGGAACCAGAAAAACAAAAACATCCGGAGATGACAAGGGAGATTAAATAGATGGTAACCATTGAATCCAAACCAAACGGAATATTTCTCATGGGAATAGGTTGCCCATCTATCCACGTGTGGAAAAGGCTACGTACGTTCTACAACCGAGTTTTGCATCCAGGGGTGATTTGCGATGGTCGAGATTTGCGCTTCCAACTGAAGAATGAAATGGAATGGAATTATTCATGTCATTATGCCTTTCAACCGAAATATTTATGACCAGTTTAACAGAAAGGATTCACTTTCATTTGAATGTTATGAAATATTTATTCATCATTACAAAAGTTTTGCACGTGCGGGTGTCATGTTCCGCTCTGCTTTGTTTTTGTTTTATTTTCAGCCCCAGCTGGAGTGTTGGGCGTGACCCTTCAGCGGTGCACCTGTGTTTCGTCTCACAATCAAGCTCCTGTGTATTTAAGGACCTTGACTTCTGCTGAGCCTCGTTGGATTATTGACCTTGTTCGCTGTTCACGCCCCAGTGCCATTTTCTAGACCTCATGTTCTCGCTCATAATCACCTTTGTTTCGATAGTGACAAAACCAAAATCTATCTTTATTTATCAAGTCGTTTTTGACTAGTTTTACTTTCGTGTTTTTGAACGATTGTCATTTTTGTTTTGTGGATTTTAGGCTACCAACTTTACCTTGTCGTTTGCAAGCGCTTTTTGTTCTCAATTAGTTTTCCTGGCT